AATAACAATAAACTCCTGGCCTTGTAAATTTTTATCAAGTATATCAACAACATTACGCCAATTTTTTGTATATCATCGGACAATGTTAACTAACTCATCATATATGCCTGAGCCGTTAAATAAATAGATATAATTGAGATTGTTTCTTATTAGTTTTGAACACTCAAAAAAACTCTGTGTCACATATATTGAACTAATATTTTTATGCTTCCCTTCAGTGAAATAACATGCAATTTTTTTTGTATTTTTTTAGGTTCAGTACATATATCTTCGAATATAGCTACTGTTCCTCTTTTAGGGGAAAAGTCATCAACTTTTGGTATTTTATCAGGTTTCATCGCTCGGAATGTAACATCTTCATAATATGGTTTGGGACTATTTGCAATAATTTTATAACAATCTCGCAAATGTCTATATTTGAGCTCGTTAATTTGATGCCTGATTAAAATCAAATTATCATTTTTAATATAACGTGTTCCACCTTTCTTTTCACTAAACATTTGATATATTTTATTCCCAAGTAAAAGGTTAATAACTTCATTAGTTTTTTCTGATCTGGTTCATCCCAAGACTAATAAGGTAAAAGATCATTGGGACGTGCTATTTAACTCATTAAATCTTTCTATATTTTTGTATTCATCGATATTTAAAGCAATTCTCTCAACTGGGTCAAGTTTTTCTATTTTCATCTCGATCAAGATAAGTAATGCTAAATTATTGCTTTGCGAATATAAAGTATCTATATTGAAAAATAATAATCTATATCTTTCGGAAAAAGTGCACTTCATGTATTACTATATATATATATTCTTCCGATTTTTTATTCTAATAAATCGCCAAGTGCAGTCACAGATTAGGTATCTGTATCTGACTTACTATTCATATCTGAATACCAACCAATAATATCAAGAGTAGGATTTTTACTTTGTATGGTTGTAATTGCATTTGTACTAATTTTCTCGCAACCCTCAATGTTAAACTTCTGGAGATTACACAAATTTGCTAATGCAAACATAGATATATCACTAATATCACAACATTCAAGTTTGAGGTTTTCAAGATTAGAACAAAGTTGTGCTATCTCACAAATAAACTTATCAGATATGAGTTCACACCCATTAAGATTAAGATATCTAAGGTTCAGGTTAGATTGTGCAATTTTTTTAACTGATATATCAGTAACCCCCTCACAACTTTCCAATACATATTTTTGCATATTTGAATGTGCTGAAGCAATTGCACATACTCCATGATCAGTTATTTTTAGACAAGTAATTAAGCTTAGGGTGTGAAGTTTTGGGCATAATTCAGCAATCTCGATTATAGATGTATCAGTAATTTTCTCATTATAATCCAATTTGAAGTGGCACAAATTAATGCATGAGTGAGCAACTTCTTTCAATAATATATCAGATAGCTTAGAAGATCCAAGTTTTAGGTATTGTAGATTTGGAGATAAATTTGCGATTTTACATAAAGTTATATCCTTCATATTTTTGTATTTACCACATCGTTTTACATTTTCTATGATGCATGTTACATTAAGAGATTCCAGATGGCAAATTTGTGTGATTTTACTAATAACTTTATTGGATAAACCACAACACTCTTGAATCTTTAGATGGCATAAATTGGGACAGGATTTAGAGATCTCATATAGCACATCGCTAGAGACCTTGCAACTAGATAGATAAAGTCAGAGTAAATATAAAGCATGTGTTTTATGTTCCCCACATATTATTTACTCCATGTTATACATGATGTTTTTAGATCACCAGTAAATTCAACCTTTCTTCATAATATTGGAGCAGAGCATAAATACCACAACCGGTTAACGAATAAGATCAGATATAGTGCTTTTTCTTCAGCTAAATACAAGAAAATATTAGTTAATATTTCAGGCAAGACAAGTGGATGAAGTTTATTATATGTCATACTTATCTTATGAGTTTATTCTTTATGCGATAAATAACCTTTTTCGATTAAAGTGTTTCGAATATAGGGAAACAAATTTGCGCCATACCCAATTTCAATGAGATCTATACTCACTCTTTTGCATATATCCCACTTTTTTTGGTCTCGCTCTCTTTGTGAATCTAGATCATTTGAATTTTTATGGAACATCGAATTCTGATGAAAATGTTGAGATTCTTGGAATTCGAATGACAATTTTAATTCCTCATTATACCCATCGAGTCGCAAACCATCTAAAAATTTTGGTACACATAGTGGAAATTTCTTACTCAGTAGATCTTCAAAAATGTACTTACACCGTCTCTCATCTGTATAATGATGGCAAAGGGAGCATCATTCAAATTTATGCTTTTGGGTCTTATAAGATGCTTCCCACTGATAGAATCCATTTTCACATGATCAAAGATACACATTGAAGCCATTTATTTGCCCTGTTCTCCCAAGACATTGACCACCACATTTTTTTGCATATTGTTCAACCAGAGCTAGCTTACTAGTTGAAACACAAATGAAGTTAATAAACCCAGTGTGATATTTTCGCATAAATTCATCTGGTGAATACTGTATTTTTTCTGGATTCTCGATAACCTGAAGTTCTTCTCGCTTGAATGGCTGATGTGGATTATGACCCATCAAATGAGCAGTAGATTCAATGGGCTCATCCTCGAGATAATATAAGACTGGCTGTGGTGAATTTTTCCTGACAACAACCTTTATGATTCGATAGACACGCAAACTCCAATATGGATCTGTTTTCCTATGCATATGTCCTCCTTCTAACTCACCTGGTTTTAATAAATATCTTATAGTCATTTCTTTCTGTAATCACAATTCATCCTTTTCAATAGGTCTTTTAGGTTTAGTGGATATTTTAAGTATCACTTCTCACAATATTATCGCATATAATAGACACATTCCTATTAATCGTGTTTTATTATTATTCATATAGTCGATAATTTTCTGAAGTATTTTATTCCATAATTTCAAATGTTCACCTTTCTTGAGTTTACCCTCTATGACATATTGGATTTTGTATATAAGTCTTGCCAAATCTTGTTTGAATTTTTTAACTAATGCTAAGCTCTCAAAGCTATAAAGATCTATAACTCTTATAGGGACATTATATCGCTCCATCCCTCATGAGAAAGTGTCTTTAAACTCACCAGCACCATCCATCATCAACAATGCTGATTACATAAGAGGATTTTTGGGATCATTATATATTTTTTGATTGTGTTCCAAACTTCTGAGCTAGTCTTTGATGTCAACGCTACTGCACATTTAAACCTGCTGGTGACATTTATAAGCACCAAAGTGTGTAAATATACTTTTCCCCTTTCCTGATCATCATGGACATGAGGTAGTAAATCGCATTGATGTGATTTATTAGGAATTCGGCATTTAGAAAAGCTAGCCTGAGTCTTAATCTTTGGTGGGTGTTAATATATTTGGTAATCATACTGATTCTCTAACCACTCTGCAATATCTCTAAGTCAAAAGTGATTATAATTTTTTTCTTTGCAAGCTTTTTGTAATTTTTTAGAAGTGGAATAAAAACCCAGCACATTATAGTAGATCATACGAAGAACAATTCGCAATTCCTCGCTAGAATTAATTATTATTGTAGGCTGGCTCATTCTCGATACATTTTATTATAGCAATAAATTATGTTTTGGCAAAGTCAGGAGATAAGTTAATATATTATGCCGTAAAAAATAGCTATAACATTTCAAAGACCACATCCTAATTGAATATCTCGTGAACCAACATCTAATCAGGAATTGGAACTGGAGCAGGTAAATCGAGCTTTGTGAGATGAGTTATCTAACGAAGTTTCAATCAATAGGTCAAATGAGAAATACATAAATGAGCTGGAGCATAAATATACCAAATGTGAAAAAGAAATCCAATCTTTTAACTAAGAACTGGAACGGCTCAAGAATGCTTCAGAGGAGGAAAAGGCAGAGTTGAGATCAAAAATCTTTAGCCTTCATATACAAATTTATAATGCTAAGAAAGAGGTCAGAGATAAGGTATCTCATATTACTAATATAGAAAGACAGTTACAAGAATCGGAAGAGCGGATTCAAAATCTGAGGCATAGGATTAAAATTATTTCTTCAAGAAAAAGCTCACCAGATCCATATACCCAGACTTCAAAAGAACAAGACACTAATATGACAACACTTGATCTTTTTATATTTGTCAAACTAGGCTTGACTCGTATTGAAAATCACCTTAGAGGTGCTGGAACACTGTTAAATAATTCTATAAATATTATAAATGGCATTAGAGATTCCTTAAATACTGTTCAGCATAATTATCAGTCTGCATACCAGGATATAGATGGTATTATTGCTCAAAGAGATGATAGCAATAATCAGATAGTCCAGCTACAGCAGGATGTCAATTACTATAGACAACAAAACGCTGATCTTCAGAACCAAACCAATCAACTTATTCAAGTACGAGATACCTTGCAAAATCATGTTAACTGACTTACACTAGAGCATAACAATTTTCAAAATAATCTTGCTTTAATAACTACAGCTTATAATAATGAGCGGACAGAATGTTATAGATAGAAGCGGATCACTCAGCAATTTGAAAGAGGAATGCAAATGCGGATTAATACTTTATTACTTGAAAAATTTGCACTCAATTTTAAACTACGAAGGTGCCAAAGGCATGAGAGAGAATTACAATAAAGATATAATTTGCGAGGGCGTTTGTGGCATAATATTACCTTAGCATTAGAAGAACAGTCTAAACTTAGGCGTTCTCTCAAAATTATTTATAAGATATCTATTCATCACTTAGAATGGAAGCTTTAACAATGCCGGGCTGATAAAGGATTATTAGAATATAATCGAGATCGGCTCTTTGATAGATATTATAATAAATTCAAGAATCAGAAGGCAAGTCATATCAAGTGGAAAAATAGGGAGCACAATTCTCAGCAATTAATTTTAAATTTACAAGCCCAAATTTTATTACTACAGAATAATCAACCTATAAATCTGAATATGGCAGCCGCCGATAGACAACATATTTATCAAACTATTCAAACAAGTCTTGCTCATATTCCATCATATATTGGACAGGAACCACTAGATGATTATTGTAATAGGATTGAAACAGCCATCAGCTATACTGATACAATGATTACTGATGCTAATACTGCAAATGCCAATACTTTTACTGATGCACATAAGGCAGATATTTATAAATCGAAAATGGCGGGAAAGTATTTACCAGTTCCACCTCAACATGCAGGAAATAATATTGATACTCCAGCTCGCTTTAGAGCATGGCTTGAAGATACCTATCTATAAAGAACAGTTGATACTCATCAGTCTGCTATTCAAAGATTATCTCAAGAAACGTTTAAGACTGATGATAATCCAGAAACATATGAAGCTAGAATTCGTCAATATATATTAGGTGTGCCTGATGATGATGCTAATGCTTTGGGATTTCTCATGGCTCATTTACCCAATGAGCTTTTTATTAGAATGGAAGGAACAAATCCTGGTAGTATTACAGCTTTCTTTACTACACTTAAAGAATTATGACTCAAGCGTCAACCATCACTTGGCTCTAGAGACTTGATTTCCAATCAAATTCCTCAAACTCCAACTGTTAATATACAAAATAAATCACATTCTGATAGTAGTGATATAACTCGAGCTGAAATAGATATGATAAAATCACAATTAGCTTTAATACCAACCACTCTTCCTCAGTCTACACAACCAACTTCTCAAAGACAAGAAGGACAATTATTACGATCCAGTCAAATGGAACCAGATAAAAAATATAGGGACCCAGACCTATGCTTGAATGACCAAGAATGGCTTCGAATGGATGAAGCAACAGATCGTCTTAGTGCTTTAGCAGGTCCATCTACTTTACAATCATTAATGGATACTATTAGTAAAGGAGTAATGGATAGAATTACGCCTTTCTTACCCAATAAGAAAAAAAATATTTCTAATGATGATATGGATAAAATTACTAAGGGTATGGCAGAATTATCAATAAATAAGGCTATAGCAAAAGGTATTGAAGCAGGTGTTAATGCTGTTATTAAATCATCCAAACACCATTGTTCGAATTGTAATAGAACTGGACATAATTCTTGCAAGTGTACTCGTAAGAAAAGATCAAAGAGTAGATCCAAAAAAAGAGGCAGTGTTAATAAGGTTGCTGTAGATTCAGGTTCAGATACAAACTCTTCCGATAACGATTCTTCAGATAATAACTCTGATTCTGGGGATTCCTCATCTGAAGTTGAATCCGATCATAGTTTTGATGTACACTTCTCTAAAACAAAAAAAAACAAGTAAAGCAGAAGGGTAAATCGGATAAATCATTATCTAAAAAGTCTAGTTCAAAGAAGAGACAGAGTCTCGAGGAAGCTGAGCTTCGAGTCTTTGACTCATCTCTGATTCAACGTTCTTCACAAAAAATGCAAAAGAAATTAGGTATGATTATCAACTCACAAATTCGAAAAATTATTCTAAATATGTTTAATGATCCAGAGGTTATAGAAATGATTAAAAACAATATTAATAACACAAATTTGTCTATGACTCGAAGAGTCACCTCTAAAGAGCCTGCAAAACCTGACTTTATAAATTATCGAGAGCCAGTTCCAGAAATATCTGATTCAGATGGAGAAGAGGAAATGTTAAATGATCCTATGGAGATAGATTTTGTTCGAAGAAAGGAATCTACCACAAGCCTTGCAACTATACCAGTTAAAATTAAGTGCTTAAAAATTCCAGCAATGTGTCTTGATAATGGAGCTGAACCTCCAATTACATCAAAAGACATTGTTAAACGTGTAAATTGGCCAATTGATAAATCAAAAAAATATGATCTTAGTGGGGTTGCTACAGTTCCAACAGAATCTATTGGTATTGCTCGTAATTTTCCAATAACATTCCCTCCAGGTTTTACTATACGTGAAGATTTTGTAGTTGTACGTGTTCCTAAACCAACATTGATATTTCCAAATCCACTTCTCAAGAAATATAAATGTGCTATAAATTGGGGGAAAGATAAATTGAAAATTCCTTTCAATGGGAAGGATCACATTATTCCAGTAACTATGCATAAAGTCAAGAATAAGCTCGAAGTAAATTGCGCTACTGTATCTCAGAATAATAAGTCATTGATATCTGATCAAATTTCTCAAGAAACGGATAGTGATAAGGATGACAATATAATATTGGAGGAATGGCATGCTCCTGCAGACTTTAGCCCAGATTTTGATGATCCATCGTTAGCAGAGCAAGTACCTTCAGTACTAAAAAAAACACATGAGTTATGAGGAGTTAGAAAAATCGCTATATACTACTCTCAAGTCTAAAGCTGAAATAAATGGTCTTTGTGAAAAGTTGCAAATGCGTTATGAAAAGCTACTCGAATATATCTCCTTTAGAGATGATAGCATAATTAAAGAAAAGATAGATCTAAGTAGTACCTAATAGGCAAGTCATATTTGCTTTATTTTTCTCATCTCTTCTGGCTTCTTTTTCACGTAATGCAACTAGATCCTCACTACTTATTTTTTCTGTTTCATTAGAGTTATTAGTAGGTATTGGATCAGATATATGAGAGCGGAGCTCATGATTCGAAGAGTCGCTCTGAAGGAGCTTATTATTGCATTGCAATGACCCTTCGGGTCTACATAATACAGATTTAGTTCTTCTCTTTTTTGTTTTCGTATTAAGAGTGGTAGATGCCAGATGTAGGTTCAGAGAACTATGATTCAAAGAATCACCTAAGGACTTGTTCTGCAATAAAATCTCACTTTCAATTCGTAATCGAGAATTTATTTGCTGTTAGCATTCTCGATTTTCTATATAATCAACAACACGAGAGTGGGATATGTGATATTTTTTTGCCATTGTATTTATTGCGTCAGGTACTACACCTATTGATCCTTTAATTTCTTGAATCACCTCATCCGAAAGAAATGTTGCATTAGCACTATAATATTTTTTATGGATACGTCCCATATCAGCCACGTAAGTGTTCTGCTTTGCAGAAATATTTTTATTATCACATATAAAGAAAAGTTTCGAAATGTTTCAAAATATTTTGAAATATTAGTTATACATATAGTAGTTGATACATAATGAAAAATATACAAATATTCCGGAATATCTTAGAATGTTTCAAAATGTTTCGAAATGTTTTATTATATTTAAAAATATACAGTTATATGAAAAATAATATTTACTGAAGATATATTTTACTTTTTGCGTCTTATTCATTTTTTATATATTATCTATTATTTAGCAGAGCAAACACAGACGCAAAGTGACATTATTCCATAATAGGTGCTAATATGTTGGCTAATATACATACATTATAAAATATTAAAGGCCATCGACTTGGTAGTATACGTGAAGAAGAGCTAGAAAAAAAATTACACGACGCTATCAAGTCCAAAGCCGAAATTAATAAGCTTAGTGAGAAATTGCAGGATAAATACATAAAGCAAATAAAGGCGTTTGATCGAGAAAGAAAGGGGTGAAATCGGAATTCGTTACGAAATAATACCGAGATTCAAAAGTTACGCACCCACGCTTTGCAGGTTATTAATGAGTATAAGCAACTACAAAATGAAAATACTAATCTTATTTCTCATAACGCACAAAAGGATATTTTTATTGCTGAATCTAAGGCTGAGAATATTACGAAATCCAAGAAAATCAAATCACTCAAGTCTATGATCAAGATATTGGAAGGTAAGTTATCTTCAGCCCGGAAAGATGTGATTTCGATTCAAAGCGACTCATCGAAAAAAGAAACCGAGATCGCATCTCTCAAATTCAAAATAGCTGAATTAGAACAAAAGTTAATTTCAACCGTTAGTGAGCTCGAGAATCTGAAATCGGAGGCTTTATCGAAATCCATAGTTGATGGGAATGACGAAAAAAATATTACTAAGACTGATAACATATCTGCAGTATTGCAAAGCAGGCCATTATTGCAGAGCAATGATCCGAAGGGTCTAGGCGATGAATCAGAGATTCGAGACTCTGTCTCTTCCTTGAATCATGACACTTATGTGTTTAATGAGGAATCAGTGATTCGAGGCTATGCCTCATCTAGCAAAAATCTAAGTAAGTATTTTGTACGTAGAAAAAGTATGGATCAAACTGAAAAAATTGATAATGATATCTTGACATATACTAATGATGAAATTACTGAACTACCAAAAAATGGTACCGAGATCAGTCCTAAGATAAATGAGGGAACTAACATTAGTGAAATTAACAAGAATGATATACTAGATATATCGATAAAACCCAATACATCAGAGACTATGCCTCAAAATGTGACTCTGCACCTTATACAACCGGATAATAATATGTCCGCTTTAATTGAATTGAATTCTCAGATTCCAATAGGAGGAATAGGAGCGATGAAATCTAGTTTCAAGGCTTTGCCTCTTCCTGCTGTGACAAGCACTTTGATGTCACCGTTATCAGTATATATGTCACTTGCTTTGTTGATTATTGCGGTTATGTGGTTTGTGAGATGTACATGAAATGTAGGTAGGCTCGAAGCACCATTGCTCCGCAGACCCGAAGGAGCGACTCTAGACTCTAAGAGTCATTTCTTTGATATAAAGGGTCATAAAAAAAGTGATCGATTGCGGGATATGTGGATCAGGCGAACATCTATTTAAACTTGGATATTATTTATGTACGAAAAAATATTTATTGTATAGCCTCATAGATATTGTGTTATATTTATATTGAGTCGACTGCCTTATACCATATATTTAAAAAACTGTCGAGTACCAGTTGATCAGCTTTTATTATATTGGATATAATAGGTTGCTCGATAACTATCTCATTTTTTCTCATAGTTTCGGGTGGGCCAATTTTATCTGGGTTTGATACATGTTCTTTATATCGCATGTGATATACTAATTGATGAAAAGAGGCATCATATTTTTTGATAATTGGGATAAGTGCATTTAGGTGTTTCGTAAAATCGGAGTATATAGATTCTCTTACCTCAGTACTTACTGAGAGATTATTATTTTCAGTATATGCTTTAGCATACTCTATGAATCTCTCCCATAATCTTGAAACAGGGTCACCTACCTTAAAGTCTTCAAAGCTTAACCAATCTCCATGATATATTTCATATGTATTACCCATTTTCTGATATAATATATCTTGCGCTTTCTTATAAGCACGTTTGTAGGCATATCCACGATTAGATATCTTTTTAGAATCGATTCCATTTTTCACATTTATCTCCTTAATATACGACTCAAGCCACTTCTTGACCTTATTTTGAGCGTAGATATCAATCTGTTTATACTTCTCATCCAAGTCAGAAATTTGCATAATCTTGTCGGTAGATGGTGGTTCATATCTTTTATCATACATTATGAATCGAGCACAAAGTGCAGTAATAGTATTTTCAAAGTAATGGGAAAGATCCAATTTCTTATTTGATTCTTTTGCAACATCCACAAATTCCATTTGATCACTCTTTTTCAGTGTAAGCTTTTTATCAGATAAACCAAAGAGTGAAT